CTTGGAGTTCGAGGTCGACGAGTTTCTTGTTGTCCTCAGAGCATAGATGTCGGCAGCCAAGATCTTGCACACTGCATTCCCCGTTACCTCGGCAGTTCCAGTCTCGGAACCCCATGAGGCCTCGCTGCGACGGAGAAACCTGAAAGGTTTGCAAGCCCACCCTCCGTCGCAGTCTCCCTCCCCTCCGCCCGTGGCCTGGCCACGTTCTTGTGAGTTCAGTGCAATGGTGGGGCGAACCGGACATGCTCGGCTTCCAGCAAAGCACATCCGGTTCGCGCCCCATTGCGTGCAAGCTGCGTTTTCTGCAAGACGGTTTTTCGCCTCCACTCCAGTTCCATCGCCTGGGTCGCGCAATGCGACGCTCACGCCTGCCCAAGACGGCGGCGGTCTTTCGGATCCTGCATGGCTTCGGGCCCAGGATTCACGTTGTGTCCTAGGCATTTTTGCAATGGCACGCAGCTTGGTCTGGCCAGAGAGCCGAGACTGCCGCGACGGTTGCCTCCCGTTTCGCAGCTGGTGTACTGTGACGACAGCAAAAACGATACTGGGGTCCCCGGCTGCTCAGACTTATGCGCGGTTCGGCAGACCTGGACGCATGTCAGCGGAGTTGAGCGCGACAGGATGTGAGCGTATAACAGTTTTGCAACTCCTCGACAACTTCTAGTCGTTCCGCAAGAAGAAGCACCCGACTTCAGAGCAAACAAGACCGACCAGGTAGATGTCTGAGACGGACGCAAGATCTTTGGTTGCCAATTCCACCCTGGCCGTCTGTACATCTGTCCGGCAGACGCCGTCGTCTGCGTCGTCTGCGGAAGCAGGCTCTGGCACGTCGTCTTGTCGGAGAACACCGAAAACAGCCGCAGTTGCCCCCGGCATTCAAGGACGGTGTCGAAAGGCGCTGTACAACTCACAGGAAGAAGCGTGCACAAACTTTCATCTTGCTTTCGGTTGCTGCAGCCTCACAATCGCAGGAGCTCCGGCACGCGACTTGCGCGGCACCAGCTTTCCGAGATGTTCTACGCAAAGGTCGGTTTTTGCCGCACGCCGGAGTGGGCGGCAGTGTGGGAGCCAGGCAGGCCCCAGCATCGCAAAATGCATTCTGGATTGCTAAGCTGTCCCGAAGACAATCGGAGACAGCGTGGCCGTCGGCACGTCGCGGCTCCGTCATCAGGCGGTCCTTCCGTCGGACGGTTGCGGGCATGTCGCAGTTCTTCTTCAGGCGGTCCTTCTGTCGGACGTTCGCGAGCACGTCGCAGTTCTTCTTCGGGCGGTCCCTTCGTCAGACGGTCATCGTGTCAAAAGCACAGATCATTGTCCTCAGAGCACAGATCTCGGCAGTCTAGATTTTGCACATTGCGTTCTCTGTTACCTCGGCAGTTCCAGTCTGGGAACCCCATGAGGCCTCGCCGCGACGGAGAATCCTTGAAGATTCGCAAGCCCACCCTTCGTCGCGGTCTCCCTCCCCTCCGCCCGTGGCCTGGCCACGTTCTTGCGAGTACAGTGCAATGGTGGGGCGAACCGGACATGCTTGGCATCCAGCAAAGCACATCCGGCTCGCGCCCCATTGCGCGCAAGCTGCGTTTTCTGCAAGACGGTTTTTCGCCTCCACTCCAGTTCCATCGCCTGGGTCGCGCAATGCGACGCTCACGCCTGCCCAAGACGGCGGCGGTCTTTCGGATCCTGCATGGCTTCGGGCCCAGGATTCACGTTGTGTCCTAGGCATTTTTGCAATGGCACGCAGCTTGGTCTGGCCAGAGAGCCGAGACTGCTGCGACGGTTGCCTCCCGTTTCGCAGCTGGTGTACTGTGACGACAGCAAGAACGATACTGGGGTCCCCGGCCGCTCAGACTTATGCGCGGTTCGGCAGACCTGGACGCATGTCAGCGGAGTTGAGCGCGACAGGATGTGAGCGTATAACAGTTTTGCAACTCCTCGACAACTTCTAGTCGTTCTGCAAGAAGAAGCACCCGACTTCAGAGCAAACAAGACTGACCAGGTAGATGTCTGAGACGGACGCAAGATCTTTGGTTGCCAATTCCACCCTGGCCGTCTGTACATCTGTCCGGCAGACGCCGTCGTCTGCGTCGTCTGCGGAAGCAGGCTCCGGCACGTCGTCTTGTCGGAGAACACCGAAAACAGCCGCAGTTGCCCCCGGCGTTCAAGGACGGTGTCGAAAGGCGCTGTACAACTCACAGGAAGAAGCGTGCACAAACTTTCATCTTGCTTTCGGTTGCTGCAGCCTCACAATCGCAGGAGCTCCGGCACGCGACTTGCGCGGCACCAGCTTTCCGAGATGTTCTACGCAAAGGTCGGTTTTTGCCGCATGCCGGAGTGGGCGGCAGTGTGGGAGCCAGGCAGGCCCCAGCATCGCAAAATGCATTCTGGATTGCTAAGCTGTCCCGAAGACAATCGGAGACAGCGTGGCCGTCGGCACGTCGCGGCTCCGTCATCAGGCGGTCCTTCTGTCGGACGGTTGCGGGCATGTCGCAGTTCTTCTTCAGGCGGTCCTTCTGTCGGACGTTCGCGTGCACGTCGCAGTTCTTCTTCGGGCGGTCCCTTCGTCAGACGGTCATCGTGTCAAAAGCACAGATCATTGTCCTCAGAGCACAGATCTCGGCAGTCTAGATTTTGCACATTGCGTTCTCTGTTACCTCGGCAGTTCCAGTCTGGGAACCCCATGAGGCCTCGCCGCGACGGAGAATCCTTGAAGATTCGCAAGCCCACCCTTCGTCGCGGTCTCCCTCCCCTCCGCCCGTGGCCTGGCCACGTTCTTGCGAGTACAGTGCAATGGTGGGGCGAACCGGACATGCTTGGCATCCAGCAAAGCACATCCGGCTCGCGCCCCATTGCGTCGCAACATGTGTCTTCGGGCCAGGACAGATCTGCATCTCCGCTCCAGTTCCATAGCGTCGGTCGTGCAATGCGACGCCCACGGCTGCCGAAGACGGCGGCGGCGGTTTTTTCAGATCTTGCATGGCTTCGGGCCCGGGTTCCTGTCAAGCCCTGGGCAGTTGCAAGAGCATACGGCGTCGTCCGGCTAGAGAGCCGAGACTCCTTCCATGGTCGCATCCAAATTGCTAGCTTGGGCACAGCGATTTCTTCAGAAAGTCACTGGGGTCTCCGGCGGCTCAGACCGACGCGCGGTTCGGCAAACCTCGGCGCATGTTCGTGGAGCTCAACTTGGCGTGACACGACACCGCAAGATTGTTGCTCTCTATCGATAAGTTCCATACTTTTTCTGCAGGAAGAAGCAGTTGACTTTACAGCAGACGAGACCAAGCACACAGTCATGCGTACGTGCCAAGAGGAAGAGCTCGGGCCGCCAATTTTCTCTCGCCTGTTTGTACATGTGTCCAGCAGCTACAGTCTCTCGCATCGCTTGCAGAAGCGGAAGCAGGCTCGGGCGCGGTGCTTCTTGCAGAAGATCGTTAGTCCGCCTAGTGCGATTAGTTTATTCACGCAGCCTGTGCCGGTCTTTTTCATCAGGACGTACGGTTCATTCGCTGGCGACCGGCGTGGACGCTTGCCCCACGAGCTTCTGTCGCTGGAAGAGTCCTTGAACGAGAAGCAAGAGATCGTCCAGAAGAACGGAGAGGTCGTAACAAAAATCCACAACGGTTGGGTTCTGCGTCTTGTCGCAAATGTATCTAAGCAATGCGAGACAAGGAGGAAGAGCTAGAACCAAGAGACGCGAAGTAGCATCTTTCAATGACCCCCAGGCCATTGTGGCTTTTAAGTCGAAAGGCAAGTTTCTGCCGAGGGAAACCGGCGCCTCCAGGTCAGCACGGCGGATGCATTCTTCCACGTCCAGCATGCGGTCGTCGCTGACGTGCAATTGATCTTCGGGAGTGTGCCTGTATAACGACAAAGCTGCAAGAAGAGCGTCCGCACGCATAGCTTCTATTTTGGGTTATCAGCAACGCAACAGCACAACATTGTATTCTCGGTGCAGATAAAGCGACAAAAGTGTGCTGAGCACGTCAGCGGAGAATGCTAATGTTTGTAGCGAGACAGCAGGACCGGGACCGACACGAAGAACTCGGTAGGCGGTCATCACCACCGCGTGAAGGTCCTGCCACGCGTTGTCGACGCTCCGCCTTAGCTCATCGCTGTTCGGGGACAGTGCCCGCCGCGCGGAGTGCATGGCGGCGGCAGTGTTCCACACGCCAAACGCGCAGGGCGCCAGGTCCATGTGGGTGTTGCGGCTGCAGAAACCGGAGACGTCGCGTCGACTGCGGCTTGGCCTGGCTAGCGAGCCGAGACCCTGCGACTGTGCGATGCGAATCCAGTGCTTTCCTGCACCCGGGCTTTCTGGCCTGGGGGCTGCGCTTCGGTCGCGAAGCGCCGGAAGTGATTGGACCTTGGTTCCATGGTCAAAAATGCAGAAAACACTAGATTCGCCAAAGAGCATTTAAAGGCGCAGCAAGTCTTCGCAACAGACGCAAGCACTATTTTTTGGGGGGCCTTCCGTGGAAGACTTCGGGTTGCCGAGGCAAGGGATCTTTAGCGACACAGTTCCCTGTGAGATCATGCCTGACAGACGGTCTGCTAGCAGACCACTATTGTTACAAGCACGGACGGCCTCCCCTCCTGGTTGGGAGCTGAAAGCAAGCCACAACACTGGACCACCCCACCCGGCACTTTAGCCCATGTGCGGGGGTGTCGTATGCCACAGCCCTGGCACGTTGGCCTCAAGGCGGTCCAGGTGCCTTGATGCACTCGAAGCCGGCAAAAGAAACTACCTTTTCCAAATCTAAGAATACTTCAGAAAAACAAAGACTCGGCCAGCTCAAGGAAACAACCGTCGCCTGCGCATGAGTGCGAAACTCGATAACGTGTCTGTCTGCACCGAACATTACCTCCCTGATTAACACGCTAGATGCTTCGAGCCGTGAGCGTGCGTTGTGCGCGGAGGAACAACTGCTTGACCCGGCGAGACGCCGAGGCCTCGAGCCGACTTCAAAGCCGCGGTCGAGACAGCTTGTCTGATCCAAGAACACTTAGGTAGGATGATGAAGCTGACGCACGCACCACAGACTCCGTGCCGGCGGACCTGAGCAGAGACGCTGACCTGCGTCGCCACTTTGCTCCAAAAGCTGCGAAATGCGCTGCTCGACCCCCCCCCCCAGAACGAGACCTCGCGGACCGCCGCGCGGCGCGTTGCGTCGCCTCTTGGGCACGGATGCCGCGACAGCAGGAACCGCGTGCTGCGACTCCGGCTCTGCATCGCTGACCGATTCCAAATCCCTGCAAAGCAGCTGGTTTAGCAACCACATTGCGCACAGCCCGAAAGACATCGCGCCTTCTGGAAGGCGGGCCGCGGCTTCCGCGACGCGCTTGTGCTCTGCCTATCACACCAAGTATAAATGCAGGGTCGGCGGATCCCGAAAAAATGTAGACGTCGCGGATGACTCGCCGCATGACCGCATCGCTGTATTGGGCGATGTCGAGCAGCAGCCGTGCCTAAAGTCCGTGACGCTAAAGCACGTGCGTCTGGACTTGCCAGCAAATCCGAAAAAATCTGCAGATAAACTGCCTCCCGAGCCTTGTGTTCGCCGACAGCACCAAGAGCGCCCCTTTGCAGAAGAAGCTCGCCCACGTGCTTGCGCATTTCGGACACGCGCGGCAAAACTGCATTCATGGCACAGTCAACGGGATATCTGCCGCTCACACCTAGAGGTTCTACCCTTTCAACGCATGCACCTATCGAAGACACCGCGCGCCCTGCGAGAAGGAACTTGGAGCTTTGCGGGTTGACTGAGATGATGTGCTTGGCTTGGCCAGTGGCCGAAGCCTCGAACCGAAAAGGAGAATGCGAAGGAAATGATACTAAAGAACCGGGCGCACCTCTACGGACGACAAACGAACGGATTCCCTTCTGTTTCCTGCAAGCACTACTTCGAACGCCGCCAGACTTGCCAACCGAACCTAGTCCTACTCATTGAGACTTGCAATGCTGCTCCGGGTACATCCTGCCGGGATCGTCATCAGACAAAGGAACACTTCGATGACCCTCGTGCCGCGGCCTTGTAACTGGAGCTTTGGGCTGGGCATGCATCCCCGCAGAGGAAAAAGGTACGTTGAAGTCCTCCGAATGCCGTGTGCTCGCAGAAGCAGACACAGGGTTTCGACTTAACAACCGCCGAACTGATTCCGCTTCTTTGAGCCGAATGGCTTCTGCTTCCTTGAAGTTGCCGTGGGTCATAGGTCTGCTCTCAGGAACCGGCAACGGCTCGAATGTCGTCTCCCTGAAAGCTTGCCTGTGCTCCTCATTCTCAAGCACAACATAAGGTTGGCCCGCGGAAACCAACTCTTCCTTGCGCCAGCAAACATCGGGCCTCTGCGCATACGCTACGATCCATGGCTCCGACGAATACATGGGTTCCTCCCAAGTCCAATGCTTCCGCCTGGGAGCGGAGTCCTGCTCGGAGCGAACCGCAACCGAACCGGCTTTTTTGGAAACCACATCCCGAGGCTTTTCAACCGCAGCTGCCGTCGAATCGGCCGCGAACTGCTGAAGAAGCTGAATGAAATTTGCTATGTCCAGCTTCATCTGCAGGTTCACACTGAGACAGAGACATGGTCGGCCCGAAAGCGGGTCGAGGTTTATCTCTGCTTTTGAGGATGAACCGGTGGTGAAAGTCAAAGGCAAAGACTTGGAAGCCATTGCGGCAGGATACTAAAGGAGTCACCTGCAGTGATCCGACTTGCATGCGAATGCTGCTCGCACGAGAATGCCTGCTGCCCCGAGTGCAAGAACGTCAAAGCTTGACCTGGCCAGTGGCCGAGGCCTCGAACCGAGAAACGAACATCCCTTCGAGCGAATGCAAACAGCCGCACGACCCTGACAGAGGATGCGCCGTGCAGCAGCCCGGCCTTGCGACGTCTGTCGCCTTCTTGGCTTTCTTCCAACAGGTGCAACCTCTTCCAGACGGTGAATGGAACTCGATCTCTGCTTTTATTTCCTTGAGTCTGATATAATTCATAGAAAAGAGCAGATGCTATGTCAAACCTAGAAATCCGTTAGCAATGCGACCGGAGATCGACAACGACCCAATAGAAATACTCCTCTCGGCCTTGCAACTCTCCTGACCCGCTAACATGCTTACTTCCTCTAGTGCAAGAAAGTCACGGCTTGACCTGGCCAGTAGCCGAGGCCTCGAGGCGACTGGCTGACGTCGCTTCGAACAACTAGAAACTGCTGGAGAACCGTAAAACAAAAAGGAACCGTGCAGAGGCCCTGCCTTGCAGTCCTCGTGATCTTTCCGCCCTTCTTGTCAATGCTGCAACCTCGCAAAGCAGCTGATTGAAACTCGAACTCTGCTTTGCTATCAAACAAGCTTATAAAACCAACATGGACAGAGCCGCTGCTGTATTGCCCCCAAAGAAGGTACCGGCCTCACAATCGATGATTGACTGCAACGTCTAAAGAAAAGTTCTCCCAACCTTCCAACGCCCCCAACCCGCTGAGGCCCCCGACGTGCGGAGAGAAGAGAAGCTCCCGCGACAGAAGACAACGGAGAAGTAGAGCTGCTTGTTGACACATGAACAGTACGCGCAAAAGCTTCGGGCAATTGGAAGGAAACCTCCTGATCTTCGCAAACTTGCCTTAGCGGAGCCTAAGGCTTCCTTCCTGATCTAAAACAAGAACCCAAGGGGACGTTGCCCGAAACCTCCGCGCGCGGGAATGGGAACGCCATAAGAAAAAAAAAAACTTCGTTTCATCGATGCGTGAAAGAAGACCGGGTAAAGAAAAAATGCATGGGGCACGAAACGGGACCGCAACCCCCCTCGACGTTTCGAGTCGCTTGCTTGCAGGCATGCAGCAAAAACGCCACCCGCTCCGAGCCATGGAGCCGCTCGTGTGCTTTCGCGTGCTTCATATAACGTAAGAAACCCTAGAAAACGAAGCAGCGAGCCCCCGTCCCGCAGCATGTGGATCGAAGCGCGGTCGGATCCTGCAAAGCGCTGAAACTCTGTGCGGACGGCGGAAATGTGCTTTTGCGGCCCCGAAAAGTTAGTTTCGCAAAGTCTGGAGCTCGTGCCGCATGGATGCGAGGCAAGAGACTGCTGCTTTCCTCCCCTGACTCGCTTGTGCTGGGTTCCTGAGGAATAACCTTGGCTTGGCCTGGCCAGCAGCCGAGACCTCGCGTTCGACGCGCCGAAGTGCTACCTCCCACATAGCAAAAACTCTAAACTGAGCTCCAGAACGCACTTTTGCGGCCTGCAAAAGCACGTTTTCGAGGATTCCGAGGACTGCGCGAGCGAAGAATCCATGCAAAACTGCTGCCTTCCACCTAGTACAAACTCCTGAAGATCCTCCGGAACGCGCTTTTGCAGGCTCCAGAAGTGCGTTTTGAAGCCGTGCCAACGACACGACAGGCGCAAAGTCCAAGAATGGATAATGCGTGGTGCGCGAGCAGGCTTGCAAAACGCGCTTTCTTTCCACTCTGCACGAAGAACCGACATCATTTCCGTTGCATGCGGCCTGACGCGAGACCGCCACCCGAGTGCGGGATTTCGGTCGATCGCATGAGGTCACATGCTCCAAAACACATGCCGAAGATCGACACGGCGATGCCGAATCCTGTGGCCCTGCCAGCACTTTAACAACTTCCCTGCGCGAAGAACCGACGTCGTCTCCGATGCATGCAACATGACGCAAATCCGCCACCCCAGTGCGGGATTTCAGTGAACAGCATGAGGTCACATGCTTGAAAAAAACATGCTGAAGACCGACACGGGATTTGAATCAATCGCATGATGTCAAAGGCTTGAAGACACATGCTGAAGACCTACATCGTGAAGCCGAATCCTGTGGCCCCGCCAGCACTTTAGCAACTTCAGAGCCAAAACACACGATCTGAAGCGCGCACGTCCAATGCAGGAAACCACGGCCCTGCCGACGTTTTATACACTTTCGAGCCTCTCCAATGAGTTCACAAGTAACAATCTCCGAATTCGTTGGCCCTGCCAATACAAAACGCACCTCCGCGCGTACAACTGAACGGCGGCGCGTTTGCACAACTGAACGGCGGCGCGTTTGCACAACTGACAGCTCTGCCGCCCCCGGTCCGCAAACTCAAGTGTGCAATAATGCTCCCGTTTAGGAGAATGGACAACTAGAGCTTGAACACGAAACTTACCTTTGCCAAGATCATCAAGGATGAGCTCATGCCCCAACAGGTTGTAAGCTGCGTCTTTATACGAGGAGTTGTGTGACTCAATCACAAAGGCAAAAGAACGTGGATAATGAAGGCCATCCGGTTTCAACTGCATATGGCAGACATCACAAAAGCTTTGGCAGACGCTGGTCATAACAATTCGATTGACGGACGCTTTTGCGGCTGCATCAAAGTTAACCAGGATGTCGTCATGTGCACCTAAGTCAGTCAAAAGGACAGTGTAGCACACATGTTTAGCTGAACGGAGGGCAGCAGCTGCTTTCATACGATTGGCGCAGGCGCACAAGGACTTAAGCTTCAAAGCCAAATTGGTTTTGGATACACTCTGGAGAAAGGGGAGTGCGTTGTCAATCGTATCGTTAACCGAATGCAATCGTGCCGGGTCTTTCGGATGGTACGAGAAGAGCGCATCAATGAAGCCTTCTCGAAGATCAGGAGTCCAGTCACGAGTGACAAGACCGGCCCCAACTGCAATAAAAGCCTTTTGAATACTGCTGGGTGCATTGGTTAACTCTTCTTTAGAAAGCCGGTTTAATGCCATGACCCGAAAGGCACACGTCAGGTGGCATACTATGGAGTCGAGTCGTGCATCAACTTGATGTCTGATGGCAGCTTCCGTGACTCGCACCGGCAAAGGTTTGGGCGGAGGCGGTGGAACAATTGGCGGCTCAACATTGGCTTGGCAGGTGGCTTTCTTACTGCAAGGTTTGCAAGCCTCATCAAAGGAAGCTGCATGGCTTAACAAGCCAGGGGCAACGGAAGTATTCCACTGCCCAGCATTGCCGTTGTCAGTCTGAGATGCATGGTTAGCATCCTGAATATCCGCCTTGTCGATGTCACCCGGCTGTGTGCCAAACAACGGGGCATCTTGGGGACGAATAGGTTGTTCGTCAGCAGCTGTGTCGGGGAGCCTAGTGCAAAAAAAGTTGAAAACAGGTTGCGTTCCTGGATTCTTTTCAGTGTACCGGCCTTGCTGATCCCCCTTGGCTTCCCTGTCAGCAGGGTGCTGAGTTGCTCTAGACTGGTCCTCCTGCCGACGCGCCGCAAGAGCTGAAGACACACTACGAGAAATGTTTCCCGCACGCGCAGCGGAGGCTTCCGCTGCAGAAGTCGGCGCATCAGTAGTCCGACGCTGTATGACGGACTGCGGAAGGTGTTTGGCAAAGCCAACTTTGGGAATGGAGCCATGTGCAGGAATAGGATGCTTCTCGAAGATAGGCGGTGGGCAGGAAATGATGTGAAGCAGCGAGATGTCGACCTTATTGTCAACGCCAAACACAGTGGCAAAGTCGCTCCTATAAGGAGCAACAATGACGGCTTCACCAAAATTGGCCAAATAAACACCTCCTGAGAAGGAGACATGCATATGGTGCCCATGTTGGACAAAGTGCGGCAAAAGGACACATCCTTTTCCCGACAGGGCATAAGCAGCGTAACAGTTTTCCTGCTGATCCGGTCCTGGCAGCTCATCAGTGAACTGTAAATCACCATGCCGCCCAAGAACACCATGTAAATGCGTTGGCACAGGTGAATGAGGGTCAACACTCGCACTGAAGCAAGCCTTCAGAGCTTGGGAGATAATGTCCTGATGTTTGTTGCGATCAGCACATTTAAGACTAATGTGCAAAATCGGGAAGGGCTCCTGTGTAGCAATGCAATCACATTGCATCACTTTAAATCGCGCAGAGTAAGCATAGCGCTCAATGGCTGTTTGATCTCCTGTACTGACAGGAGTGAAGAAAGTAAGCCTAGTGGCGGGAACTTCATGAGCGTTGCTGTAGTGAGTCCAGTGTTGCTCTGGCTTCTCGAGAACGTTTCGCTTGGTTGTAGTGGGGAGCAACACGCTGGTGTCCTTTACGTAGTGCTCTACAATAACTGCAGCATCGAGCTTCTCATAAGTCGACCAGAGGATATTCTCCTCTGCCGCAGGGATAACAACATGCAGGGCTGCCTCTTGTGCTCCTTGGCAATCAAAAAAGGCGTGCCTGACGTAAGTTGGGGTAGCTCCGAGACTTTGAATAAACTCTCGTCCCTGTGAAATGTCGAGTGTTCCTTGAAGACACCTTACCTGCAGGTGAACCTCTTTTATGACTGAGGGGCACACACATTCAACGAAGTATGATCGGGTAGTGAAGTATGTGCCAGCACAGTGCTTTCTAGGAATGAATTTCAGGGCACCCCTTACCTTACTTTCCGGGAGATCAATGGCATTGCTGCGCAATGATGCAATAAAGGCCTGGTATTGCAGTGGCGTTACCCTAACTGTCAGGTGTTGCCTGACAACGCAAGCTAAAACGTTGCACTGGTATGCGTGTCTCATAATAGCATCAATGTGCGAGCCTTGCTGCGTGGAAATGGGGATATTGCAAATAATTTGAGCTTGCAATTGATCGAAGACCTCGAGCGGGAGGGAAGACGAGAGATGGCTAAGTACATCACAAGGCAGTTGCGAAACATAAACGTGGAGGTTGGGTGATACTCC